GATGGCAGGTCTGAGACACAAGGCAGAGACAATTTTGAGACAGGTTGCTCAGTCCAGCCCTGAGCCGGCCAAAAAAGGCACAGAGAAGCTAGATCGACGCGAGCTGTGGGTGTGTAGTAGGTGTAGGCGTGTGTGCGGATAGCTTAGGCGTGGGCGAACAGGCTGAGGAAGAGAGAGACAGAGACATGTCTGCCTACTGCGAGTCCGCGGTGGATTATCCCAGCAGACTGACCTAACCCATGGCGGCCACGCGAGGTTCGATTGGTGCATCTCGCCTTACAGCAGCGCCGCAGGGCCTGGGCGCAGATGTCTTTGCTGTCATACATAGCCACCTACTGCGGTAGACGCAAGTGTGCCCCTCTTTTTTATCGATATTCCTCTTTGGAGTTGTTTTGATATCAGAAAAGAATTACCCGGGAAGGGAGGTCATGTCATGGGCCGCTTGGTATGGCCGGGCAGTGTCCTGATTGAAATCGATCTGCCTACTCATTGTTGGGAAGGACGCGTCGTCGTGGTCTGCTCGAACGGGCACCGGGCAACGAGATGATTGCTCCAGACTTTGGATCTGGATCCGCCAGGTGAACTCGAGCCGTGATGATGAAAATTCAATGGGCCCTCCTTCAGCAGGCGGGAAATGATAGAACAGCGGTCTGGTCTGGGTGGTAAAATAATGTGGTGCGGCCTCAGGTTTCCAAGAGAGGTCAGCGGCCGGCCGGCCTCATTCCCCCATTGTCAAAGGTCCGGTGAACCTTCATCAACACTGACGAACCCTCCTCTATCTTCCGTTCAGATCGGAGGTGGCTCTGTCCAATGGCATCCCACCACTGGATGCAAATGACGTTGAAAGAAGGCCAGGTGTGTTGTCTTCTTCGAAATGGAGGGGCAGGGATGAGATGTGGCAGAGAGGGAGCCGGAGAGAGAGGGCGAGACGGAGGGGTCCATGATGTCTCTTTTTTGGTGTGCCCCTCACACCCCTCATCGAAAGAGCTACCCTGCCGGCTCAGCTCCAAGACGGGGTACGAATACAGATTACAGTACATGGCACACAAGGGGGACGCCAGCGTAATCACAAACTTGTATTCCCGAGCCACCGGATCCCGCAGGCCATGGTTCACAAAAAGCCCCGGGCTATGGATGCTGGCTTTGGGAGGACACGCACTGGTTTCGTTCCACAGCTGGCTTCTTTCTGTACTACAAGATGTGTCTGGAGAGACAAGAGACTGTATGGAGAGATTGACGGTGAGAGACACCTCGGCACGGTCATTGTATCACTTCTATGATTTCTGTTTAGCCGCGTTAAACCGGGGATTTATTGTAAGACAAATGAAGCTCGGTGGAGTCGTCTCTTAGGCCAAGGCAGGGCTGGAGAGAGACTTGGATAATAATAACAATAAGTGCTCAAGAGAGCTCTGTCTCGGAAGCAGTTCCGGACGTAGTGAGGATATCTCCACTTTAGTATCACTACGAATACAGAGCCTACACAGAAAGGGTCCGTCGTTGGCACACGGAATCTTGGTTGACTAGGGGTCTTCCGATGCCCACTCGCTTGGCAAGCGAAGAGTTCAAATCAGATGATTTTGGTGAGGCAGGCGGGTATAGACAGGATTCCTAGGAGGTGTACATACATAGTCCGTTCATTTATCCCATCTCTCATTCGATGTCAGCCAAAGTAATGTGTCATGGCCAAAATACATGAGACGAAAAGAGTCCCATCGGCTTTTTGGATAGGGTCTACCGTCTATCAAAAAAGTCAGGTCACGCCAACAGACATGCGGACGCCCCTCCATCGTCCCCGCTTCGTGAGAGCCGGCCGCTGGAGTGGAGCAAAGTGTGGAGAGTGAAAGAAGTAAGAGAGAGGGAAAAGCTGGAATTGATCATTGATCCAGATGACAGGGTTCCAGAAAGAGGTCAATTGACGAATCACATTTGGGGACGGCTTCTACGGCGAGCGCTAAGAGACTAAGAGCTAGCTCTGTCAGGTCGGGCAAGAGACGTTTGGCTTTTTCTTTGGTAGCAGCACCAGTTAGCAGCACCCTTTTTGCTCTACTCTGCAGTAGCTTGGTGAGACTTTCTCAGGGAAAGACCATGGAGGTAAGGCAATCGGCGCTGGGCGGCATCACCTGCTCAGGTTGAACTAGGTGAGGTGGTGAGATGCCTGCCGCAATCGAGCAATGGTTGTGAGTGGCTTTGTAGATGAGGTAGATGAGATGAGTGACACGGCGAGTGAGTGAGAGTAACGGATGTGAATGAGGGTGAGCGAATGCATGATTGAGTGTAAAAGTCATTGGTGAGAGAAGTGAGTGAATGACATCGTTGGCGCCTTCCACGGTGCTTCGAGATTGATTCGGGAAGGAAGCCACGGGCGATTCGCTGACTGACACGACCCCTTGCGGCAAGCTGCAAGCTGCACGCCGCCAACCTCCTCTTTGCTTCTCATCTTGTTGACGGCTCCCCATGCTCCGTGGAGAACCAAGCAGCAGTACCACTACTCCGTAGCAGTAGCAACGACGAGCTACGAGCTACGAGCTACCTTAACGACAAGTCATCAATAACAAGAAAAGAGTTGGCCCGCGGTAATCTTGCCGTGGCTCGACCTCTGCGCGCATGACCTTATCTGACTCTGCTTTTCTCACCTGCATTGACAGATCGCGGTTGCGAACGGCCAGGTACCACAGTACCCGCCTCTCTCTCCTACTTCGATTTCCTAGCCTTTACGAAGGGTGTATTTACCAATTGGCTTACAAGACTCAAGGCAGAGGCACAAATACCTGAGATATCAGGGTGGGTTACTGAGAGAGAGACACACACACATTCGCACATACGCATACATGCACACACACACACATGAAGAGAGATCGAGAGAGAAAGAGAGAGAGAGAGACGCGGCAAAGATGGGCGAGGGGTGTGGAAAGCAGAAAAAAGGCCAGTGCATTGCATGTCAAGAGAGAACACCCTGCCTTTTGGATCGAGGTCTCGCCGGGCTTGGTTTCCTGATTTCCCTTGGATTACCTTCCAGGTTCATCAAAGCAACACCGTCGAGCGGCACTGCCAGCTCATCATTGCATGGTGTGGTCTGCGTCCCAAGGGCCTGCGCTTGCTTTGGCCCGGCCTAGTTGCAACTTGTGCGTTTTCGCGCGCGCCCGCTTGCACCAGCCAGCCGTTGCGCTGCGTCTGCCTGCCTGCTGCTGCTGCTGCTGCTGCTGCTGCTGCTGCTGCTGCTGCTGGTCCTTACTTGTTGTAGGTATGTCTACTTGCTGCTACTACATGTTATTGCTGCTGCTGCTGCTGCTGCCAAAGGTCTCCATGGATCCGTACTGATGCACCGGCACCCACATCACCAACCCACGTCCAAGGTATCCGTACCCGTCATGTCATGTCCGTGGTGCGGAGTACGTACTGATTCTCTCTCAGGTACCTTACCTAGGTAGGTACCTTACTGCCTCCAGATGGCTCTTTCCCACTGCGAGTACCCAAGATACGTACTGAACTTACGTGATTGTGCAAGTACCCATGTTTCTTCGTCTCCTCCTCTGCACCACCACGTCGTCCGCCTCCTCTTCCGACAACCAACAACATACGAAATGGAGACGATGGGGACATCGACATCGACGACGGCTACAACAACTTGTAATTACCGCTCACCTCGTACGGCGGATACTCGACAACAACCGAGGTCACGTTCGTCTCGTTTCCCCACGCCCACCATCCACCAACTACGGAACAACAGCACGACACAGAATACACAATATCAACCACTCCAACGTCTTGTTCGAACCCTCCGATAGCCTCCTGTCCCCCTCCATCGGAGGTACCTGACCTTACCTGACCTCACCACGCATTCACGGCCTTTTCAATGCATACAGACCTAGGTATTCACCGTCCTCACACCCCTCTCGGTGGTGTCGCCGTCGTTGTCCGTTTTCGGCCATCTAACGGTCTGCATTCGCGTGGCTTTATTTTTTCTTCTCCCCCTCCTCCTCTTATCCTGCCCCTCCACACTCGCCGCCATCATCGCTTTAGTTATTTAACTTTTGCCTCACCTTACAGCAGGAGAGAGGGTCCTTTTTCGATCTAGGTAGTCTGCGGCGAACACTGTAACTCTCGCAATATACCAGAGAGAGGGGAAGTGGACAGAGGGACATGCTTCTTGCATATGGAGAAGCGAGATATAATTTGTCTGCGGAGCCGATTACAGCGTACCTCCTCCCTATCGATTCCATGCTGCTCATCCCACTCCGACGTGAGAAAGCAACATTGGCTCGGGTTCTCAAAGTCAGAGAGGGGGAAGCTATTCCATGTTGATGGATCTCGCCGCCCCCGTCGAACCCACTCTCAAAGCCATCTCTCGGCGTTCAGAGTGTTCATGCACGTCGTCTGCTACCCTCTTAGCTCACGGTGACAAGACTTGAGAGATGACCTCTTCACCGACCTTGCAATCCTGCCCGCGGGGGACGATGCCGTCTGCCGGGGGCCCTTGAACCTCGAACGGAGGCCCGCCGTTCGGTCACCAGTGCCACCGACTTCACCTTATTCCCTGGCGACCGTCGCCCCCATCATTCATGGGATTTGAAAATCAGTAATGGCAGAACCCTGGGAGTTGCAGCCGCCGCACCATGAACAACCTTAGAGATCCAGCGTCTCGCCGTTGACTATCGCTCGCTCGCTCTCGTCTATCCTTCGTCGCTCATCGCTCCGGGGGTCTCTATTTTAGGCGGCACCCTGGCTCGCACTCTGAGCCAACGAACGGCCGGTAGCCCAGCAAGCGCTGATTTGCCGCTCTAGGGCGGTACCTTGATCCGTCACCGCAACGAGCCCAGTCTGTATCTGTACCGGAGTATAACTACATTCTCGCTCCCCCGGGGGGGGGGGGGGTTATCCATTTTCTATGCCGGTGATTCGCTGAGCTATTGGAGAAGGATTTCGATTTTGGCCGTCTCTGACTGGATACAATTGCTAGCCTACGAGACGACTTTGGCCGACAGGCGGTTTTGACTTTGATGATGCCGTGCGAATCGCCCGCCATCGCTGCACATCATTGGGAGCCACCGATGATCCCAAACGTGGGCCCCGGCGCCTGGCGCTGTCCTCACCCTGTCCCAGCTAGCATCGAAGCGCACGGCCAGGCCTTGCCTGACATGGCACAGACGAACGCCAATTCTTCGACTTCTAGGTTCATCGTCCTTCTCTCTTGGTATCACAATGTCACCTTCCAAGTTGCCGGAGACGCTTTACATCGTACGGATACCTCCTCTTCTTCATGGTTCCAATCCCCCAACCTCGGGTCCCGCAACACAAGCGAGCAGCAAGCAGCAGCAGGATGGGTCATGGGTGGCATGGTGAATTCAATCTCGACGTTTGGCTTGGTTTGGGGGGTCCTCTTCTGCTCAACTCCGAGTCCGAACCCACCGCATGCGTCCTGCTGCCCCCGCAGAGACGCTCATTGACCGCAGTCAATAAATGCACGCAAGCCTAAAGTAGCGAGCAATGTACATGGCCTCATACGTACATACATGACGATGGATGGCATATCTCAACAACAACATATTGGCGCTCGGCCTGTGACAAAACGACCAACAATGAGCGGTGGAAACATTGGACAACACCAGCGACGGTGACAATGACAGCAACAGTACCATGGAGCCGACAAAGACGGCACGTCTACGGTCTGACAGGTTGCTGAGGAATTGTCCACAAGTGCCAACCGGCCCTTTACTCGATAGTTGATTACAGGTGCAGTAGTCGCCGCTAACACGAAAAATTTAGGGCATCGATTTCGCATCAGTCATCCTTTGTCTCTTTCTCTCTTCTCCGCGGTCACTGGATAGGGCATTCCTATACACTACTAGGCACATCCCTCTTCGGAGGAGCCAGAAAAGCAAATAAGCATGCTCTGGCGTTTTGACTCGCCGCCAGCCCGAAACAATTCAATCAAAGGCCATGGAAGCCCGGACTCGGGACCAGCGTATCCCGCACGTCAAGTAAACTCTTCGACGAGAGTTACTTGGCAGATTCTTCGATCAAGTAACAGCAACGTGCCAGACCTCTTGTGCGCCGCCGGAGGAGGACCAGCTCGCCTCGCCAGATTGGGGTCCTACATGTCCGTATGGTTCCATTTTGCCACCGGCTTTGCAGATTTGCAGCCCTCGTCAAGTCTCTTCCTCTTTTTTGTTTTTCTCTCAGTCCTTTTCGTCTCACAATTCGCCCTCGACATTTCTGCTGTAGCCCCAGAGAAGCTAAGGCAGCCCGCTATGCGACCCGGCGGGCCACATGGTCGGAGAGACTTCGTCCAAAGTTTCGGCCATGTACGTATGTACCAGAGGCGCGCGCCTTTGCTTGTGACGATGATGTCGTGGGCAAACCACAAGCTGGGCCCAAAACAGAATAAAGTGTAAGTCGGTCGATGTTCGGCGGCACGACCGGCGGCAGCACAGATTACATTTCGAAAAGTCGAAGTGCCCTAGAAGGAGAAGCTTGAACGGGACCGTCAAGCGCCACGAGCAGCGACAAGCTCTGTGGCTCCTCCTACGCATCTGAAGACCGAAGCATGTCGGACCTTGCGGTCAAGTCCCGTACGGGGCAACGTTATCGAGATACCTCGTCGATTCTCCAGTCCAGGCCTCGATACTCATCTGCTACAGGTCAGACTCTCCAACGAACGACCGGGCCTCGAGATGAGCGACCAGGGGACTGGGCCAGCAAGACTGGAGAGAGTGGGAGACTAATGGACGAGCAGGGGACCTTTCCCTCCAAGTCTCAGCAGCAGAGAGACAGATCTTCGTCCGCCCATCCCTGGCCCTGGGGCCCTTGCTCAGCGATGATGCTGGTACCCCCCTCCCCCCCTCTTCAGTGTGTCGTTGTGGAGCTGTCTAGTCTCCAGCGGTTTTTATCAACTGGCAACGAGGCGAGCCAACGCAGCAAAGCATGGGTCACACTCTTTCGAGAGCCGCATCGCCGCTTGCATCTCGAACCAAAAAGAATTAAGAGAGAGAGGGAAAAAAAAAAGAAGGGGACATTGAGAGAAGCGCCCCCATTGTCATTGTGCACTTCTTCCCGCAGTGCCCGTTTTTTTTTCTTCCTCTCTTGCTCTCTCCCCCTGTCGGTTCGGCGTCTGGCTTTCCATGTTCACGTCCCTGCCCAGACTCCAGAGATGCAGCAGACTGACCGAACAGACGGACAGAAACGCCCTGTATGTCGCTTGCTTGTTGACCTTTTCCTCGTTCGTCTGTCTTCTCCTCCTCCTAGCCAAGGTAGTGAGGTACACAGCTCCATTCCCCTCTTTCTTGCCTGGTCCCTCATTTCCTTTTCCTGCCGCTGCCGTTGCCGCCGAAGCTCTCCAATACCACATACTGCTACGGATAGTGTCGATGTTATGTCCAAGTACCTTTACCAAGTTGATGCTGGACCTGGACCTAGACTTGAACTTGGACTTGGACTTGAACTTGTTGTTGCTTGACCACCACCACCACCCTCTCCACCCCTCCCCCCTTGCCCCCGCACTAGTTCCGTTGACAAGCCCAGAAGCACGAGAGAGAGAAAGAAAAAAAAGAGAAAGGCACCTCTTTTTTTTTCTGCAATAAAGCAGACACATGTCTCTCCGTTCATGGCTCAGATGCTTTCCTGCAACCCGAGAGACGGAAGCCCTGGATACGTAGCTTAACTTACAACACCACCCACCCACACACACCACCTTCAATACTCCGTACACGCACACACGCACAACACAACTCACCCACACACTCACAAGTAACAACACATCAACACCCCTTCCACCGACTTTCTTCATCTTGTCCCCCCATACCTCTTCAGGCTTTTACTTCTCCAACCTGGGAACCACGAAAACATCGAGAACCTTAGCCGATTCCAGCTCACTTTCTCCTACCTTACATCTCGTTGAACAACTCATACCTTACATACTTGCCTACCCTCGACCACGCCCCGGATTTCTGCCCTACGCCTTACATACGACCCTCCCAGCATTGCTTTGGCGCGTGGTGCGTAGAGTGCGTGCCAGCTCAGCCCAGCCCATCCCATCCCATCACATCCCCGACCACAGATCTCTCTGCTCGCCTCACCGTTGGGCTCGATTGCATCTCACGGCGTCCGCATCTTTGGTCCCCTTGTCTGGATAGGAATCAACCCTCGTCGCATTGCTTCACTTTTTCTTCCTTCTTGCTCTGAGACAACTTCTCTCCCCTGCTACGGTCTTTCCCGTCTCCCCCGCCTGGATCTGGACCTGCATCTCAGAACCACCACCGCTTCTCTTAATCGACCCATTGGGAATAACTGCCAACATGGGCGGCTTCTACATGCAGTACCTCGAGAGTAAGTCATCAATTGAGTTTTGTAGATGGATTGTTGGAGCCCAATGCTTCCCTGAACCTCGTCATCGCCATTGTCGGTATAAGTGGGGCTGTCCATGATGACCTGGAGAACTGGGTCAGATCGTGTGCCCTACCCCTGCATTCTGTCAATGGCGGGAATGACATGCGTCTCCCGTTTCGTGGTGACTCTCAACGAGTCGGGACGTGGCATTATGTCCGGGGATCGACGTCAGCTTCTCGCTGCGGCTCTCTTCAGGAACGGCATGCAGGGTTCGCAAGGGGGAAAAAGTCTGTGAGAGTGGATTGGGCTCGGATACAGATGGCATAACGTCGTTGAGAGGCGTGTATCCGCTATTCTCCCTCAGCTGTGTCATCAAGACTGGCTCAGAATGACTCACAGAAGAAGATCTGGGGCTAACCGATCCAATCTAGGTCTTTGCCGGCGACGAGGATGGAACGACCCTTCTTACGAGTGTTACCGCGATCACAGCGGCTACACCTGCTTGGTTCTGGTCAACGGACGCGAGTACCAGACGGATCTCGCGTATCAATCCGACTCGTTGGCCCAGGAAAACGCCGCCATGCGTGCCTTCATGGTGTGCCGCAACTTCTCCGTCAACGGCGGCATGCTGGCTCGCAATGGCATCGTTCAGGGGCTTCCGGCCACTGAGCCTGCTCGCCGCTCCAAGAAGAGCCGCCACACATCATCCAGTCACAGCTCGCGAGACAGCCACCGTCGATCTGGTCACCATTCGAGCAGCAGCTCTACGGCCTCTTTCGACTAAAGATAGGCAGGTAGCCTGAATCCCTGCGTTACGTGGCGGCAGGGATTCGAGACGACGACTATTATAAGGTGGAACAGCTTCGCAGCTGATTGAGCCTATGAAAGAAGACGACGCCTCCAGACGGCTGCTCTGGGAGGTCACAGGGTCAAAGAGAGATGTTGGGGGAGAAAACAAAATGGGCAAAAAGCGACGCATATTTTCCAACTGCGACGACTCTTCACGACTTAATGAACTAGAATCATGGTTTCCGCGCGGCACATCTGATTTCTGCACTTCATAACTCTTCCGGCCGGTCTCCTTCGAATTTCGGACAAAATGCGTTTCTTCTCTCGTCGCCTATTCTCGGATTCGACTTTTTTTCTCTCTTTACTTTCAAGACTTTTTGATGACCGCGCGCTTGGCTGGGATTGTACAGTACCAGTCGGGGGCTGTCCTTCATTTATCCGAACGGATCAACAACCGGAGGCGACTCTGGCCGACCGACCATCTTTCCTTTTTGACAATTCTCTCTGCATTGCGCATTTTGTTCCTCCTGCTCAGGGTACGCCCTCGACTAAGCTGGAACCACATTCTTCCTTCATTGCTTGCTCGAAAATGACGAATTACCACACAGATTGGAACATATGACGATGATGGGGCGGTTAGACTCACATGAGCTTGAGACGTGGACTCGGCATTTTGGTTTTTTCTTCATTCTCTGCTCTTGTTTTCGAGACAAAAATCAGGGGGTCATTTGGGGTGGGAGGATGGCTTAAAGACGGCCAGAAGAGCCACGCCCCCTTACGCATTGCCTCAAAAGCGAAGCATACGTTTTTTTTTTCTTCTTCTTTCTCCTGCATCTCCGACGAAATTGATGGTGCCTGGGAGAGGTTCAGCATCTCGAATTACATCTTGCTTCCTTCTCCAAGGGGGTTCATTTACGATTATTACGCTTTTCGTACGACTTTTTGGGAGGATCTAACGAGACTGGATGACGGCCTTTTGGCCAAGCTGAGGGCACGATGGATATGATGAAAGACTGGCAGAACCAAGAAAACATGACGAGAGACGTATGAAGGCAACGAGGTTGATGAGACTGTTGGTGCGAGAAGAATAGGCGAGAGAGAAGGTGGCGGGGGAGGAGGAGGAGGATGATGAATTTCTCATGATCCTACGCCTTTTTCCTATTTTACATGCGGACGCCTCTGCGACGCTCATGATGATGATAACGACCAAATTTTAACGACAAAGACTTCATGGTATGGATGGCAAGAACAAAGACGATCACAAAAGAAATAAAAACAAAACGCTTTCAAGCTCCCTTTTTGCAAAGACTGTTGAACTTTATCCTAGGTGACTATGACACAGGAGGGAGGTTGAAGGAGAAGTGATGGATCGGATGCTGCTATGGTCATCTCGTAAACTTGGGTAGAGGTTCGTGAAATTGACATTGACGTGGAGCGTTGATGGAGCCTGGTACCGGCAGCTTGCCGGATTCCCCGGAGGGTGTAGAGAGGCAGGACGGGATTCAACAGTGATGGTCGGTGGTGGAGAGCTAAGTTCCACCGGAGCCGAGGAGTCGGAAAGTGGATGATGTCTCGGCGGTTCCAATCTGACCGGCAAGGTAAGGTACTAACTAAGGTATCAGGCGGCACGGTGCTTTGCCTTGTACGCGCCCGCCATTTAGCGAGTAAGCCCACCTTGGCTTATGGTATCAGATCGTTCTGACGAACCGAGCAGGGGTACAGAGAGAAGGGAGACGGACGTGTGACAATACTTGGTATTTGCATGCTTCCGTGTTCGCGAGAAAGTATTTGAGGTACTTGTAGCTTTAGCTCGGGACGATACCGGTGCATTTGAGCAAAGTACCTTGGATAAACGTCGTAGATAAACTCAGCATGTCATCCGCATCATTCTTGTCCCTGTTCTGGACTGCCAATCCTGCCTTGCCAGTTATGCATATTCACTTTTCCTTCCGTTCTATCCTGTGTGCTCGAGCTGGATGGGAAGAGGGCGGGTGTTGTTTATTCAATCACGGGTGAGAGGATTCGCTTGGTATGTTCCGTCCATTCCAGAACATTATCCTGCCTTGATATGCATTGGCTATGCGTAAATGATCTCGCATTGCTCCACGGCGGGAGTACACTCCTGGCATCTTTGCACAGAAACCACGCAGGAGGGAGAAGATGAAATGCCTGGCTGGAAGTTTCGGATGATCTGCTGTTTGCCTTTGGTCGTTGAAAGTTTGAGTGTATCCGTGGGATGGGACGGACGGAGCGGGAGTCCGTGTGGCGTGGTGCGGATCTCGGGCCGGGGTTTATTCGGATCTTAGCACGGAAGGGTGGGGAGGACCGGGCTACCCCTTCCAGAGGTGATAACTGACGGAGGGATCCAACGGACACGGTGAGAGATCATGGCTCGACATTAGGGAAGAAAACCAAAGATGGAACTGAAGGAACCTGTCACTGCCCACTGCCTACAGGCTTACGAGACTAGTTGCAGGCTGGTATGCTGAGGAGCAGCATGAGAAGCCGAATGGCAAAAATGACCACGGCCGAAATTCGACGCCGGGCGGTCCCGGGATGTGGATTGTGGGTTTTCTTCTCATTCAAGTTTGAGGTAGCATGTCACGTTGGCTCAGTGGACCCCACTTTTCGGCGGCGTCAAGCGTTCTGGAACTGTGACTGCCTACGTTGCCCCCTACTCCATACATAGCAGAGGCTTGGGATGATGGATCGTGGGCCGGACGCGGTTGTTTGAAAGGAGAGGAGGTGAACACGTACGTCACGTCGCATGTTGAGCGATTTGAGGATCCTCTCCGCCGGGCCCATGGCACAAAGGCATTCCCCTCTCAAGGCCCCCAGCGTGGGTGGCTCAATTGACGATTTCCCTGGAAATCAATGTGGCTTTGCACAGAGGGGCGACTTTCCCTACTACTCCTCCACCCCAGCTTTCCTAGTCACGAGATGGGGATTTCTGCCGCGGCATTGGACGACGTGTAGCATGAGGTGGGATGAGCGACTCCACTAGCTGAGGCGTCAAGGCGAAATCTGTCCTGACTTGGCCATGATCATTGAGAGCTGTTGGCCTGTTGCAGCGCAATGTGGGCGAGGCGCTGCTTCTTGAACGCGCCGAGACATGCTCACCAATCGAAGAGGAAAAAGGATGCCAAGGGAGAGATGTAAGTTTTAAGGCTTGATAGCTCCAAGGAAGGGATGCGACGCTGGCATTCATCGTAATTGCGGCATGGACTCGTAAACACAACACGAGCGGCCGAGCCCTGCAGCTGAAGAAGCTCGTGTCCCGGGCGTGAGCATCCTCTTGTCTCCTCCCCAAGGCTTGATCTTCCCGGTTCCCCAGCATCTGTTCCCGTGATGCTGACGGACGGGCAGAGGTGCGCATCCATGATCCGGGGGACAAGAGGAGGCAAAAGTCGCGAATTTAGTACGGGCCCGCCGGTCAGCTGTCTTCGGATCTGTAGGGAGAGCCCTTGCAGTCTAGGTTTCGAGCGAGCCAGACTCTAGAGACAGTGGCCCCCGCGGCACATCCAGATGCGGACTTCATACGGGCGGTCCAGTATCGGCTTGCGGCGGACGACGGTCTACCGTTTTGACGTCTCTCGCCTAAGGATGGTAAAGATGCTGTGCACCGTCAATTGGCTTGCAGTTTGAAGACGAGACTGCGAGCGGCAGCGACAAGCAAGGGAGGGCGGAGGGCAGGCATGGGCAAATTCGTCAATCTCGGCAGGGGAAATTGGGGGTAAGGCTGGGTTGACGAGGCCTCGTGGAAACTCGAATGTGTTTGGCGGGATGAGGTGATGTGCTTGTGTGCCAATGCAATGTGCTATGCGCCAGGAGTTATGTTGCCATTGGGGCCGACGAGTCGCCGCAATCTCGAACTGGAACGTCGAGTCCTCAAAGTCCCCATCGTACAGCTACACCTCCACTTTTTTCTCTGTTGCGGCCATTGAGAACCTGGAAAGGCTCGGAGGGCCGAGTATAGTGCCTCTTCCATTGCCGAACGTGTTGCGAACTTGTGATGGTGTACCTAGTAGGGAGTACCGGTACCTATCCCCACACACGGATCGCCGGGAGGGTATGTATGTTTTCGTGCTTGTATGTAGCTGTTTCTGTAGTCTGGTCGGCTGTGCTCGTGCTTTCGTGCGGATAGTGGTTTTTTTGAGTTTGGAAATCGATGCTTTGTACAGATAGAGTAGAGGAGCGTACTCGGTAGGACGGGAGCGAAAGTCGAAAAGCTGGAGAAAGTGATGGGTGGCAGCCCCTGACAGCTGGGCCTTGCCTGAGCTTGGGGCTGGGCTGGGCGTTGCGGCGTAGCGTTGTTGCATGGCAGCATGGTCCTCTCCTTCCCTGGACTTTGCGACTTCTTCTTTTTTCCCTCCTCTCGTCTCGGAGCCCCACTCGAGTTGACGGGATGGGATTGGACGATGGGATCACATGGGGGCGCTGCGCACGGGGAGAGGAGGGAGGCCATTGGATGGGATTCCGCATTGGCCATGGGACGGTACGTCTTCCGGTCTACGTACCCTGAATTTTGATGAACCAGGAAAGAACATTGAACAGTCCTACCTTCCTTTGGTAATCAACAACCTCAAATCTCTCGAGTACCTCATCCAGCTACAAGAATATATCTGTCTCTAGGCTATAATTGGAACGTCAGAGTTCGAGCACCGCCAAGTTATCTAGTCCATCCGGGCAGACAACGTGGAATGGTGAATGGCTCTGATTGGGATATAAAAAAGTCTAGAACAACGTATCAAAATGCCAGACACTTTGCAGCCCAGCATGTTGGTGCTAATCCCGCCCGTTAGTGTACCCGTTCGAACCCCCATTCCGCCCCTGGGCCCCTTCTCTTTCCCCCCTTTGGGTGCCCTGTGCTTCTTGCCGTGCTGCCCCCAATTGATTGCTATCGCAGGCAGCCCGGTCGAAGTACCGCACCATAGAAAACGCAGTGTTGGGTGACTTGCAGCTTGTAATTGACCGGGACCTTGGGAGGTACAGATGTCGTGTCATTTTTGAGGGTGCCTTCTCCCTCACCACCCTGCGCCTCTTTTCGCGTCTCTCCTGCTCTTTCTGCCTTCCCATCTGTGACCACTGACCACTGACCAACCGTGGACCTCTGACCTCCCTTTTTTTCCCCATCCCAACTTTCTGAACTCCCCTCGTGGCTTCCTTCACTGCACTCGCTCAACCTCTTGCCTTTTGCAACTTTCTCCTCCCAAAAGGTCTTCTTCCACTTTCCCATCTTCGGATTCTACTTTCCACAAGCAGGATTCCATTGTATACCCTTTTCGAGAAAAAGGCACGCCTGTCTCTCTCTGTTTTAACAACCTTCTAATCGTCCATTTCTGGAACTGCAAGAGCTACCCCTTTGGTCACCTCAGCCAAATACACGCCTGTCCTCCTCTCCGAAAAAGCGCAGCTTCCCCTTGTTGCCAAATTCAGTCACACCGACCAGGCCAAGAGAACCTCTTCCCTCTTTCAACTCTTCACACACTCGTTTACATACGCACCTCACCCACGGAAGCTACCACGTCTTCCTTTCTCTGCGTCGCACAACGATATCGAACCATCACCTAACCCCTCAACTCCAATACCATCAACATGAAGGGTAAGCACTTGCCCCATACGAACAGCTACATGCGCTTCAGCCTGCCCCAGTCCCAGCCTTGCCCATCGATCTGCGATACTCGAGGCTGGCCGGCGGCAGGCGCAATATGTGGTCGGCAGTGACGCAAACTTGCTAACTTGCTTGAACAGCCATTATTCTCGTCGGCGGCTTCGGCACTCGTCTTCGCCCTCTGGTACGTTCATTCCTCTCCCTAGCTTGAACACACAGCACACAGCAGCAGCAGATTTCTGCCAGCGGCTGCTGTACCTTCCACACTGATCGAATATGTTACTGACCTGGTATTTCCAATGCGCAGACCCTCACCCTCCCCAAGCCCCTGGTCGAGTTCGCGAACAAGCCCATGATTGAGCACCAGATCGAGGCTCTTGCTGCTGCTGGCGTCACCGATGTTGTCCTCGCTGTCAACTACCGCCCCGAGGTTATGGAGAAGCACTTGGCAGAGGTGGGTCTTTCCATGAGCTTCCCCTCTGCAGCTACCATAATAAATACTGACTTCCTCCATCCATAGTACGAGAAGAGGTTCGGCTTGAACATCACCTTCTCCGTCGAGACCGAGCCCCTCGATACCGCTGGTCCCTTGAAGCTGGCCGAGAGCATTCTTGCCAAGGACGACACCCCCTTCTTCGTCTTGAACTCGGATGTCATCTGCGACTTCCCCTTCAAGGACTTGGCCGAGTTCCACAAGAACCATGGCGATGAGGGCACCATTGTGGTCACCAAGGTCGAGGAGCCTAGCAAGTACGGTGTCGTTGTCCACAAGCCTAATCACCCCACCAAGATCGACCGTTTCGTCGAGAAGCCCGTCGAGTTTGTTGGCAACCGCATCAACGCCGGCATGTACATCCTCAACACCAGTGTACTCAAGCGCATTGAGCTTCGCCCCACCTCGATCGAGAAGGAGACCTTCCCCGCCATCGTCAAGGATGGTCAGCTGCACAGCTTTGATCTCCCCGGCTTCTGGATGGACGTCGGTCAGCCCAAGGACTTCCTTACCGGCACCTGCTTGTACCTCACTTCCCTCACTAAGCAGGGTTCCAAGGAGCTTGCCTCCCCCTCAGAGCCTTACGTCCACGGCGGCAACGTTCTGATTGACCCCTCTGCCAAGATTGGCAAGCACTGCAAGATTGGACCCAACGTGACGGTCGGCCCCAACGTCGTTATTGGCGACGGCTGCCGTCTTCAGCGTTGCGTTCTGCTGCCCGGTTCCAAGGTCAAGGATCATGCGTGGGTTAAGAGCACTATTGTCGGTTGGAACAGCACTGTTGGCAAGTGGGCTCGTCTTGAGAACGTCACTGTCCTCGGCGACGACGTGACCATTGGCGACGAGATCTACGTCAACGGTGGCAGCATTCTCCCCCACAAGAGCATCAAGGCCAACGTTGACATCCCCGCCATCATCATGTAAAACCAGAACCGAACAACCGGAAAAAACACTATACCCGGGCCTGGACGAACACTCTGAGGGTCCGCGCTCTTCACACTTCTTGTCTGCACGCCTGTTCTTATCGACTTTCTAATTTCAAGTTGCGATACGATTCACCACTCCACTCATGAGTCTTCAAACTTTAAGAAACGGGGGCGGAAACCAAACACTACATTTTTGGCTGGCGTCGGCAGGGGGAAATCATTTGGCGAGCACAGAAAAGCACTTGGCTTTGCGATGTTTTAACTTACTTTTTTGCGTTTGGGAAAGATGATGGTCCCCAATTTCGTGACGAAATGCAGACGAACGGTGTCGAGGGCTGTCACCCAGCTTGGAGGATATCTCCCTCGATGTGCCGTGGACATGGAAGACTCCCAACCGTGGGGTCATCTGTGAGACAGATGAGAATAAAGATGATACCTCTGAATTTGAGACCGCGAACGTGCTTTGAAGATGGTGACAATTCGTCGTGTTGCTCATGCGCATGTCATGCGAGTATCTCGTGATTTGATGTGGGGGGAAGGAGGGGTGGAGGGATACCTGAGATGACGGATCACATTTGCGCCTTCCCCGTGTGGATGGGTGAGTGGGTGCGAAAGGCAAGCAAGACAAGAAGCTGACTTGATAGGTATCCTGTCTAAACGAAACCAACTTTCCCCCAATATCATACCACCATCAAAAAAAAAAAAAATAGGCTTCTTTCTCCTTTTCTGTATACCCAAGTACTCCGAACAAAATCTTCAAACCCACATGCTTTCTACACTTTTCTACTCCGCATTATCACGCACCCAACCCCTAGACATCTCGACAGCCTGCTCCCACTTTTTGAACATCTTTTGGCTCGTCTCTCTGTCGAGCGCGGGCGTAAAGATCTTACGCCCGTTCTGGTTGACGTGCTTGAGGTCCTCGAGCTCGCCCCAGACGCCCAGCGCGAGGCCGGCGGCGATGGCGGCGCCGAGGGCCGTCGTCTCGCGCATGGCGGGGCGGTCGACGCGGATGCCGCTGATGTCGGCCTGGGACTGCATGCAGAGGTCTGAGTTGGAGAGGCCGCCGTCGACGGCGAGGTTCTCGAGGGCGTGGCCCGAGTCGTTGGCCATGGCGTCGAGGATGGCTTTTGTCTGGTAGCATGTCGCTTCGAGGGTCGCGCGGGCGATGTGGCCCTTTTGGGTGTGGGCTGTGATGCCGACTGTTTTGGGCATGTTAGTAAGGTGAGTGGTGTTGATTGGGAGATAATGACTTACACAGAGTTCCCTTTGCGTCGTCGATCCAGTATGGCGCAAAGAGGCCGCTAAAGGCCGTCACGAAGACGACGCCGCCGTTATCAGGTACGGTCTCGGCTAGCTCTGAGATGCGAGACGAGTCTTCGACGAAAGAAAGGTTCTTGACGAGGAACTTCACGCCCGAGCCTGCGACTGCGATGCTGCCCTCGAGGGCGTATACGGGCTTTCTACCCTTGCCGAAATCGTACGCGACGGTAGCCAGCAGACCCGACTTGGATATGACGGGCTCCTCGCCAACATTATACAACAGGAAGCAGCCCGTACCGTACGTGTTCTTTGCCTGGCCCGGGGAGAAGCCGCACTGGCCGACGAGGGCGGAGGATTGGTCGCCCAAGCAGCCCGCAATCGGCACGCCCTTGAGGACGCCGCGAGCAAAGGAGCCGAAGGCGGTCGGGTCGGAGGAGGGGACGATCTTGGGGAGGTGGATCTTGGATTGGTCGATGCCGAAGAAGGAGAGGAGGGTGTCGTCGTACTTGAGGGTGCGGAGATTCATGAACATTGTGCGGCTGGCGTTCGTCGAGTCGGTGACGTGGATCGCGTCGTCGCCCTTGTCTGCGCCGCCATTGAGGCGGTAGATGAGCCAGGAGTCGACGGTGCCGAAGGCGAGGTGGCCCGCATCGTAGGCTTCGCGGACGGAGGGGACGTTGTCGAGGAGCCAGCGGAGCTTGACGGAGGAAGGGTAGGTGGACAGGGGCAGACCGCACAGGTCCTGGAGAGCGTCTGCGCCGGGGCGGGCGCGGAGTTCGCGGACGAGGGAGGTGGTACGGGTGTCGGGCCAGACAACGGCATGGTGGAGGGGTTCGCCGGTGCGGACGTCCCAGAGGACGGTGGTCTCGCGCTGGTTGGTGATGCCGACGCCACGGATGTTGGCAGGGGAGTAGCCTTGTTCAGCGAACTGGGCCATTGCCTTTTCAACGCATTCTTCGACGGAGGAGAGGAGCTCGAGGGGGTCGTGCTCGTGCCAGCCCGAGTGCGGGTAGTGGTTCTCAAACTCGATCTGGTGGCTTGCCACAGGGTCACCGAGGCCGTTGAAGATGAGGAAGCGAGTCGAGGTCGTGCCTTGATCTATGCTGCCTACGAACCAATGTTCTTTGAGTTCTTCTTGGGTCTCTGTGATGCCGGCTGGGAGGTGTTCGGCCGGGTCTGCGGCCACGCGCGGGCGCTTGGTTTCTCTCGTCTCGGCCATTGTGTTGTCGGTGCCGCCGCTGCTGTGGTGGTAGGTTGTTGGTAAGTCAAGAAGAGGAGGGAGAGGAAGAGGAGGACAGAAGGGGAGTAGGAGTGAGAGTGAGACACAAAGAGAGGAAATACAAGGGGTATCTTGAGGGAAAAGGTAACGGAGACAAGAGAGGGGCCGAGGAAGAGAAGAAGAAGCTAAAGACTAAGCAAGCTGGGGCTCTGGGGACTTCAATGGGGAACGAGGAGGGTCGGGGGGACCACGGGGGGTATCACGCGGAGAGAAGAGCAAAATCGACAGCGCCCCTGGGGTTGTACGGGATTTGTTTCCGCAAGCACGCGCAAAAGCAAAGGGGGCCGTAGGAGCCGGCGTGGGAGGCGGGGCGGGTACGGGGGGAGACGGGAACAAGTCGGGATCGTGGATTTCGCGATGGAGCACGAGGCGATAGAACTCGGGAGTAGGATATGTGTGTGTGCAGGTATAGGTTGTGGTTCTTGTGTGTGGACGATGACTGACTGTCTAGCTAAATATGCCGTCCCACGAGGAGGCTGGTTGGTGGTATTGGTGGTGGTGGTACGAACGGCGGGGGACTGAGACTTTGACTGAGACGAGGTGTTCTTGGTAGACTGTTCGTCTTGTGAAGCTCTTGCGTCTATTCCAGCCGCACGAACACCGTTGCCGTTGTTAGCCTCTGCCGTGGCATTATTTCCCAGGGTCGTCTTTGCTGTCTGTGTTGCCCGCCGCTGCGACGACAAATTTCGGACGGACATGTGCTGCAGCAGCGGCGGCCCCAGCTGGAGCTTCGCGCCGGCGCTCGGCATGATGTCAGAAGCGGGCGTGGGGCGCTGATTGGAGGAAGAATTGAGGGGTTTGGGCCTCGCGCGAAGCTCCCGCTGCTGCTGCGGCGTGCAACGAACCGTTTTGCACGTGTAATATCCCGTACTGACTATACCATTATCGCCAGCGTCGCTTTCACCTCTGCGGCCGTGTATACAACGTCTATGGGCCGTACATGATCTCAATGGCTTCGTCCTCGTCCTCGGACTCGGGCTGAAGAACTTGTCTGCCGGCTCGCTGGTACCGGAGACGACGGGACCCAGAAAGGGGGAAATCCTGGGGAGTGATTGGGGGGTTTTAAGGACGCGTGAGAGGATTTGGGGATGCATTAGGGAAACTGGGCCCAAGACTGGGTCTCAGTAGTCGTAGATCGAGCTCGAGGGGGCTCGGGAATCGAAAGGGATTTGCTGCCTGCATACAACGCGGTAGCGAATGATGCAGGCGAATCATGAATGTCTGCTGTAGGATGGTAGTCGTTCGTTTGTCTTCGCGAAACTTTTTTTGCGCCGCTGGGTCGCTGGTTCGCGGGAGGGAATCCCGAGGTGCGTTTGATGGAGACATGGGGCGGCTGGGCGGCTCTGGGTCTCGGGCATGGTCGGGGTTTGAGCACCGAGAATCTCTCCATTTTTAGGTAAAAGGCAATGGGTCTACTGGGGTCTGGGGCCGATGAGTTGACGGGCCTTCACCGAGGTGAGGGTGGTGAACGGACTGTCACCGACGCTTGGTTTTGACTACATCGTAGGCGTGAGTGGAAGAGGGAGCCAAGTGGGTGACATAATCGTTTGCCGTACTATGAACCATAGCTCTTTTTCTGCTATTCTTCTTTCTGCTGTACATTCTCTAGTGATGATACATAGTATATAAGTAACAATAGAAACGTAGCTAAAAAAGGGGGGGGGGGGTTTCTTTAAAAATAAATTAAAAAAGAATAATGATGATGAGAGAGCTAGAAATAATGATCAGGTCGTAAATAAGTGTTACGATCTTTTGTTGGCCGGTATTTAATCTTGTCACCCACTTAACTACACCGCAGCCATAGTCTCTATGAGAGCGTTTAATTAGGGGGCCGCATAAAGCAAGGTGGTAATGGTCTATCCATCTATTCGGACCTTGCGGACGGGGTCATTCCCATATTTCAATCTGTCAATGGTGGGATTGGCCGCCCAGAAGGGGTAAGAATGTCCAGACTCTTCTGCTGCTGCGGTCTCGACTTGTCTATAGCTTGAGAGACTATTGCGATTTACCGTGGAGATGATGAACGACATGAGATTGTGAGTGTGGACTTGGTACCTGGTAGCGGCTGTCTTTAAGTAGGAATGGAAGGCCTGTTAAGAAACGGTGATGGAAGTTGCTGATTGGATCGGTATTAATCCTCAAAAGCATACCAAGAAGCGCAACATCACAGTTAACTTTGAAAGTCCAATTGATTCCACCCCTGGGACTTCGTCCATAGCTACTTTGAAAATCAAACACGTATATTTTAGTCATAGCTCGAGTTGGTCAATGATGACCCTTCAGCTCCAAGACTCCGGTTTGTAAATGCGGTCTTGCCGCGACCCTTCTTTTACCCGACTAAAATCCCTGTTCTCCTAGTACTTAAATCAAAATTACTAGAAGAAGTACTTCAACCCAGCATCTCCACCCAACTCTCAGCCCGCTTACACCAGACAAGAAGAAACCGCGTCCCAGGCAGCACGGTCTCCACGCTCCACGTCCAGAACTGATGGGATCATAATGCTTTCATGTATGCTTAAGAAGAGCGAGGCGAGGAATGCTCCTGAGATGGCAACAAGAGGGAGCACCGGCAGGACCCTGTCGAGGACTAGCTCCGGTCCCTTTAGTAATGTGGTTAGAGTCGCATAGGACATTAGGATGAACAGAATGGAGTAGCTGGATTTAGACTGTAAGTTTCGTTGTCTCTGTTATCGCTTGGGGGCTAACACGTACGCGTTGGGCATCTTGGACATGTGACGCCATGTGAGAAAGAGTACACTGTCCACAAGTGCAGCACTGCACCAAAGGCTGTTTACCCTCGTTAGTATATAGATACCGAAAGCCTTGGTGACGACCAGGCAGACTAGTTGTAAAGCAGCGGGGCAATAGGCTCATCGTGCACAACCGCAATGTAGACAGATACGGTTGTTCCCGCAACACCTCCGACTTTGCGCAGTATCGTGAGGGTACGGCCGCGGCGAAGTCCACCGATTCGACGTCCGATACCGATATGACGCCAGATTCTAGAGAGACAATTGGTCTTCGTGTCAGTAAGTCTCCCTTTTGCTCACGAAGTTTGAAAGAACAAATCAAAACGTACTCGATGCTATAGATTGCCGGAAGCCTCAGGAGTCTCTGAGGCAAAGACACCGACCTTTCTGGTGGAGCCGGCTCCCCAAGCTGCTGGATCTCTAGGTCTTGCATTTCCATCAGAACGTAATTGGCTAACTGTAGATGTACTGGGGAGAATGCAGTATTCGATGTTGGGTTCCAGTGTTGATGAGAACGATGGGCATGGCTGTTTTTCTAGATGTCAGACTTAGGAGGGAAGGAGGGACGATGATGTCTAAAGATGAAAACACAAGGTCTCTTTTAGCAGCTAGCCTGATTGAAATGCTGTGTAACGCGGTGGAAGTGAGGTCGACTATGTGGTTGGCCCTCGATTACGTGGCAGTGCTCAATACGAATACCTAGTGCAACAGTAAGGCTCGGTGAGGAGTTGGGCCGCACTTGAGTTCTGAAGAGGCGTTGAACCGGCCAGCAACATTGCTAAAACAACAAGAAGCAACTCGAGATACTCTGTAGGGACGAAAGTTACAGACAACTTATCGAACATCTACGAAATGGCTGATCCAGTCAACTCATCCGCTCCACGATGGGGGCAAATTCGCATTGCTGAGCTTCTCGACAGGGCTCAACCAGCACATAATTCGCAGATTGGTGAATTCGGGCCTACATTCATTTCCATGGACTTTGTGGAAAAACTAGGCTTGAAACCCTTGCCTTCGACACCTGGCGCCTGGAAGCAGAGATCTGCCCGCTATCCAAAGAGTCGCATGGCGAAGTTGGCAGCAGAGATGGGGACGATTTTTGGCTCGATGATTCTGAAGGAGAACGCTGTGCTTGGCCAGACGCGAGAACCTCTCAATTCTCCGACTTCTTGGAACGCTGGACTTTCCGCCCAATCTGAGGTATCCGGCGAGAGATGGCACTCAGGGATAGGAAATCTCTTAGGAAACTCCCTGAAACAAATGGTCCGTGGCATAGTATACTCTCTTCTGAAAACTAGCTAACGCATACCTTCTGTGCAGGTCACCCAGATCCTCACAACCCCGACACCCCGCATGCTGATGGTCGGCCTGATCACCTATGGCATCGGGGTGTCGATGTTGTATCACATGAACGACAGACACAAACATCAAGACGCCGTTATAGCGATAGGAATCGTGATCGGGGTATGTCTGGGAATATTTATGGATATGGATGGACAGGCCATACTACTGCGCATTCTTCCGTGGGCAGTGCTCATAGCCGTATGGCTAAGCGATATGGGGCATCAATTCTTCTGGACTCGCAATGCCCAACTAGCAACGGTTAGCACGGCGATTTGAAGAACTTGAAGGGTTCACGATTTGGGAGGGGAAACACACGGTTATCGAGACAGCGGAGAGGCATACACTCATGTTATGCCCGAAGGAGTGAAGGATCCCTTATGTATCACACGTGTGTTTGTGCAATATAAACCGGCGATTGAAAACCCATTGCGAGATTGCCCCCAGTGATTTTGGCAACACGCCATGAGCTACTCCCAGCCACTACGGGCGACCGCCATCAACGAAGGCATGACTAGAACAAACATTGAGTGAGTATTCAATGAAACGGCGATACATGATGGCATTAGCCAAGGAGTTAAAAGGGGGAACCAAAGGGTTTTCTGATAACCAAGAAACCTGAGTAGGTCATGGCAGTCAAGTGGGTGACAAAATCGATTTCCTGCTATACATCTTAACAAGCACCCCTTTCACCACTCACATCATAATCATTACCTCTTTCGCATCAAAGTCTTTCTTATGTACGTAATATTACATACTCTTTTCAATAGATATTAATTCTAGTGATAATAGCGGTGGAACTGCTTGTCGGATGTATCGAGCGGAAATCAATTTCGTCACCCACTTGACTGTATCCTAACATCCAAAGGCTCTGTATGCGATTCCCTGATGTTGTCGATAGTCTCCGGACATTAGCTGATCCGACGAATACTAAAGCGAAGCACTTTATCAATAATTAGATCGTAGCTATACTATGATCTCGCTCAGGGGGTTCTTGAAGGATGAAATGAAGATCTGGCGTTAGAGCCGAGAGCAGGCGTCCTCGTGCGACCGGAATGAGCCATCGTCTTAAGATATACATCGAGCATTCTGTTCAAGCCTTGACAATAAGCAAGCTACTCGCGGTAGTCGCCTAAATTCAGCTTAGTGAATCGCTTGTCCTGAGCTTTAGGAAAAGAGGAGGGCTACAATCATAACATGAGGCTATTCGCACTTATTGCCACTCACTCAAATTTGCCGAAATCAGTACGAAAGACACCTTTTACATGAAGCCAAATCATTTCTAATACATTAACCGTACTTCACAACAGCAGATAAGAAATACGAAGTCTGAAAAAACTGCAAAAGATTGGTACACGCCCAACTTCGAGCGAGGCTCGAACTTGCGCGTCCCGCGAGGCAACCAGAGAGGGCCCGATCGGGATATTTGCTTTCCCTCAGCATGCTGAGGTGATACCACTAGACCAAGCGCACTTGATCTAGCGGTACCGCCTCATCTGGTGAAAGCAAAGCGAGTTGGAGCGCCTCATGAGGGTATGGACGGGAGATGGAAAAGACATCCGGGTGTAGGGCAGGGAGGTGAGGCAGGTAGGTGAACTTGCGCACAGCCTTGGGAAGAAAGGTACGCCGGTTCAATCCAAAACCTTCCTGCCGTACGACCCGGTCAACTATCTACCCAAGGTATATACAGCCTCAAATTTGTGTGGTCGCTCCAGCTACTGAAGGCTCTGGGTGAACACCCTGTTGACCACATCTTGCTACGGCACCATTGACATGCCCCTACCTACCATGGCCCTATGGAGTTTTCGAAATGAAAAGTCTATAACGCCATGTACTAGTAGAAATGAACAGTGTCCTCCAAAAGAGAACGGAAATGTGACAGGAGAATTGATGGGTATCACAAACGTATCCTGTCCTCCAACCACTCCGCAATGGCACCCTCCCCACGTTCACCAAGTTCAAGCCCCTCGTTCACACCAACCTCGACGACAGTCACCCGTCTTTCAGCCTCAGCTTCCACGTCAAAGTCCTCGTCCCACTGCAGCCTCGCCTTAAACTCCAGCTTCTCCAAGCTCCGCCTCATCAACCCCGCCAGCTCCGTAGCCTGGGCTTCAAACGTGTGTCCTGCCACCTTCCGTCTCCTCGCCGTCCTAGAAGCGAGTTCTCGAGCCATGGAAGATGCCAAGCTGCTTTTCCTCGTCGTCGTCTTGCGCCTCGTCACAGGTTCAGTCGGGGTATCATGGAGTAACAAAGCATGAGGCAGCTTGAGCGTCGACTTTCTCGGCGGGAACACAAGCGCACTCCGCCTCGGCGCTGCCATCATCACCCCTTCGGTAAAGCCAAGGATATCAGCCGGCTTCACGTCCGAGTTGACAGAGGAAAGCCGTTCCAATAACGACGACACGGCCGCCGCCTGCATGAAGCTTGACGGCGCGTTCATGCCGGGCGTCTGGAAGAGAAGACTAGGGCTCACAAACGGGTCGAACAGGTCTACCGGTGAGCGAAACAGGTTCTCCATCTTCATCTGCAGCATATGCAGCGCCGACCCTTCCTCAGGCCGTGGCGGGAGTTTCTTGCTGCGCGCGGTGGCGGGCCTGTTGATCTTGTGGTCCGGGAGAAACATGGACCAGTTGTAGATGCCGTTCCAGGCGATCAGTCCACGGACGGCCATGCGGGCATGGTGATGGGACTCAGTCAGGGCTAGAGAGGTGGCCATGCTGGCGCCGGCGTGGGAGCTGTATACGTATATGTCGCGGCGGGAGTTGGTGCCGGAGGGTAGGAGGTTTTCTGTGATCCAGGTGTAGCCGGCGAGGACGTCGTGTAAGGGAGTGGGCCATGTGAGAGGCGTGGTGAAGTTGAAGTCGGGTTCTGGGTCGTGTTCGGCTTCCGGTGGGGTGGAGACCGGAGACTCGGACCGGGACGGGGACCATCGGTAGTTGATGACGGCCGTTGGGTACGGCATGAGGAAGTGGGGGATGGGGGTCAGGTATCCCGGGGTTGGTGAGAAGGGCGGGATGTACACCATCAAAGGAGTTGCGGCGGGATGACGGTTCACATTGTGAAGACTGATATTTGCGTTAAATAGAAGTCATGGCCTGGTGGGATGGAGTGAGATATACTCTACTGTGATGGCCCCTGAGGAGCGACAAGGCACATCGACGGACTCGATGTCAGGCCTGTCAAGATGGAAACATCTTCGTTGAAAGACATGAGTTGGGCGCAGACAAGACGACAGCCAAGGTGCCGGCCATCTTCTCATCGTCTATGTATATGAGACAATAGCAGGACGAGCTACTGAAATACTCATGTTCAGTTGGTCGCTCACTCATTTACTCACTCATACACTCATACTGATGTGAGTACCTTGGATGTAAGTGTATGATTTTGAGTGAGTTAGTTATCCGAGTAAACAACCAGCTACAATTCCCCAGACGCGTTTTTTTCTCACTAAGTTGTAAAGGGACCACCCTCGGACCAACCAGCGGCCATTCCGTCTCCTCCACACCACCATAATCTCCCATTTCTCCAGCCTTCGTGTTTGCACCGCCGCAAACTGTCCCCCACACGTCACCTCTGCTAAGCTTCGAGTTCTTGGTCAAGGGTCCCTCGACTCCCACTTTGTTGCAGTAGCGTCTACGTCGTACTACTGTGCCCTGGCACCACCTAAGAATTTGACCCCAAGCGCCGGAGCAACCACCGCTGAAATGGAGCCAAGGGATCGCTGTTTCGGGAGAGATCATGAGCTCTGTCCTACTGCAGGCATGGGTGACCTGATCTGTCTGATGATTGACACCAAACTGTTGGCGACATGCCACCCGGGGGGCATATTGCATGCCAAGCGAAGAACGATATATATAAGTTCAAATGCCAAGGATGAATGGTGCAAACGGTCACGGCGTAACTGGCGGCCAAATATTTGTTCAAAGACATCGCCGAATCTCGCGAGGGAAGCACACACTCGAGAATCCGAGATGGTCAGACAGAGATCATCCGGCCGTTTACAATCTAAACTAGGCCACGCAACAAAACGCCCATCCGTTGCGTTCCTCGCTACGTATTGGAGCACATCTTTTGACGTGTCTCAGTTATCTGATCAGTAGACGCGAAGAGGAAGACAAACGAGAGGAAAAACAAGGCGCGAGTGCACACCCTCTTCGGCGTCCCCCAAACAGACGTCATCGCGAAGTGCCTCCATCCCCCTCCGTCTGGGGCACCCCGGCTAGCACGGATACCGGTAGTACTTTCAGGAGTCTAGACTCCCGACTCTATGGGTCCTCAACCTCGATGAGAAAAAGGAGATTTCGAGAATTCCCCTCTTCTTCAACTTAGTTATTAACTACGGCCAAGAATTGTAAAGATAATCGTTCACAAGACTCTAGCGTCGTGTTCTTGAGAAATCTTACCTAGGTAGCTTGCAGCAGCCGGGAATGCCTTCACCTTCGGCGGATCCACCACACCGCACCCGCTCATCTGCCCCGCGCGGCTCGCCGCTCGATCCGACCTCGACGCCGCCATGAACGACGCCGACCTGGGCGATAACATTGACGAGCGCATCGGGCAGCTCGAGCAGTCAAAGAACCCCCGCAGCAGCGAGAAGCGCTTTGCCAACGATGTCGCACATCTCGACCCGAGCCGGTGGTGGTTCGCCTCCTCCGCATTTCCCATGATCGCCGGCACCCTCGGCCCCGTTGCCTCGGCGTTCAGTATTTGTGCCCTCGTCCGGCCTTGGCGACAGCACTACCCGCCCGGTACCGACATCACCAACGCCGCTTTTGAGCCGGATCCGAAATGGTCAGACCCCCGTCTCATCCAGACATTCGTGTTATTCACGATTCCTCACACTCCTCATGTGTGAGCCATCCGTCAACACTGACATGGGGCTAACGATGTTTGCAGGCTCATCATCGTCAACGCCATCCAGCTGGCGATAGCAATCATCTCAAACGTCTTCCTCCTCCTCA